GCATGCATGAGGCCCTGGGTTCGATTCCTTAGCACCACATAAGCAGAAAAAGCTGGAAGTGGCACTTTGGTTCAAGTGGTAGAGCGGTAGCTTTCAGCTGAAGAGCTGAGGGACAGTGTCCAGGCCCAGAGTTCAGGCTCCCCACATAGGACAAAAAAAAAAGACATTGTGCTTTTCATAACCTAGTGTTGGTTTATAAAATTTTAACTGTTTTCATCCAAGATAATCTCCTTTATTATAAGCAGTGTTGCTTTTCGTGCTCAGGACTGTACGCCTAGCTATTCAGGAGGCTGAATTCTGAGGATCCAGGTTCAAAGCCACCCTCTTATCTCCAATCTACTACCAAAAACCAGAAGTGGAGATGTGGCTCAACGTGGAAGAGCACTAGGCTTGAGCAAAATGAGTTCAGGAATAGCACCAAGGCCCCACTAGTGACAAAAAGAGAGAAAGAAAAAAGAAATGATGTTTCTTATAAGCAAAATGTTGGTTGAGGGCTGGGAATGTGGTTCAGACACAGACTGCTTACCACACAAGCATGAGGTCATGAATTTGATTTCTCAGCACCACATAAGCAGAAGAAGCTGGAAATGGCACTGTGGCTCAAGTGGTAGAGCTTTGCCTTGAGCTGAAGAGCTGAGGGGCAGGGCCCAGGAAGGGAGTTCAAGCCCCACCACCAGCAAAAAAAAATAAAATACTGGTAAAGTTTCAATATGCTGTCAAATAATGGTGTGTATCACTACTCATGTAATTAATAATATTTCATGGAATTCTTTTTTTATCTGTTGGTTCTTGGGCTTAGCCTCACGGCCTTGTTGCTGTGCCGTAGCCTTGGTCTGTCTCTATTTTCTTGATTGTGGGCACTGAGGGCAATAAATTTGCCCCTCGGGACTGCTTTTGCTGTGTCCCACATTTTCGTTGGGTTGTAGGAAATTTTTTATTTCTTCTTTGATCTCTTCCATTACCCAGGCATGCTAAGAAGTGTGCTGTTCAATTTCCATGCATTAGAATAATTTCTGCGGTATGCTTTGTTATTGAGAATTAGCTTGATTCCACTGTGGTCAGATAGGATACAGGGGATTATGTCGATCCCCTTGTATTTGCTTAAGTTTCTTACATGATTTATGGTCTATTTTGGAGAAAGTTCCACACGCTGCTGAGAAGAATGTGTACTGTGTAGTTTTAGCGTGAAATACTCAGTAGATGTCAGTTAATTCTGCTTGAAGTATGGTCTCACTTAATTCAGTAGCTTCTTTGCCAATCCTCTGATTGGTAGACTTGTCCTTTGGTGAGAGTGGGGTGTTAAAGTCTCCTAGTATTATCGTATTTTGATCTATTTTATATTGTAAGTTTGAGAGTATTTGCTTAACATATCTGGGTGCACCAATGTTTGTGGAATATAAGTTGATGAGGGTAATATCCTCCTCTTGGATTTTTCCCTGTATTAATATATAGTGTCTTTCCTTGTGTTTTTGTTTTGATTTTAATGAAAAGTGTATTTTGTCAGATATCAGGATTGCTACACCTGCTTTCTTAGTGGGGGCATTTGATTGGTAGATCCTTTTCCAACCCTTTACTCTGAGTTTGTATGTTTGGCTGAGAGGTGGGTCTCCTGTAGGCAACAAATGGATGGATCATGTTTTCTGATCCAATCTGCAGTTCTTTTCCTTTTGATTGGCAAATTAAGCTCGTTAATATTAAGAGATAGTATAGAGAGATGCACAGTGTTCCCTGTCATTCCCTGTTTTCCTCAGTTTTTCTTCTTTCATTTCCTCCTGTGCTTGCTCAGTTAGACTCTGAGTAATGCCTGTTTGGGGCAGGTCCCAGTTCCTGGTTGCTTTCTTCAGTTTGTGTTCCCCCTCTTAGTATTCTTTGTAATGCTGGCTTAATGTTTATATATTCATTAAGTTTTTCTTTGCTATTAAAAATTTTCATGTCTCTATTGAATGTGAATGCTAGCTTTGCCGGGTATATCAGTCTGGGTTGGCAGTTATTGGCTCTCAGGGCTCGTATGGTACTTTCCCAGGCCTTTCTTGCATTCAGTGTTTGTATGGAGAGATCTGCAGTGATTCTAATTTTTTCCCATTGTAGTATAGCTCCTTCTTCATTTTTGCTGCATGCAAGATTGTTTCCTTATTATTCAGATCTATCATTTTTATTATAATGTGTCTAGAAGTGTTTCTCCTGGGATCTCGCTTGTTAGGTGTTCTATATACTTCTGTTATGTAGGTAATATGTTCTTTTTTGAGATGGGGAAGATTTTCTCCAATTATCTTGTTGAATAGGTGTTGCATTCCCTTGCTTTGATATCCCTCACCTTTGTTCACTCCAATTATATGAAGGTTCAATTTCTTGGCACTATCTGCTTCCTCTTGAATTTCCCTTTGGCATAATTTTAGTAATTTTTCCATATCTATCATTTTTTGGTCCAGTTGGTGTATTCTGTCTTCTGTATCTGACACTCTACTTTCCATTTTGTTCACTCTGTTAACTGTGGCTTCCATTGTGGTTTGCATGGAGGAAATGGACTCCTTAATGGATTCGATGTTGGTTCTCAAAGTACTGATCTTACTTCTTAATGAGATATGTACTGCCTCTATTTTGGCATTTATCTCACTTCTTAGTGAGGTATGTACTGCTTCTATTTTTGCGTGTACCTCGTGTTTGAGATCCTGCATCTCTTTCGATAGTACGTCCCTGTGTTCTTTCTATTTCTGGTCTATTTCTCACTTTATTTCTTGAGTCATTACCTCCAGAATCCCTTGGATGTAGTTTTTGCCTTCCATTCCTGCTTTGCTTCCACTGGGCCTCCCACCTGGGTGGCTGCTAGCTATTGGGGATAGCTTGCTATCCTGAGTGTTGATAAAACTTGTAATTTTTCTCTGTGATTTTCACATGGGGGTTCAGGGATTATTGGAGACTAATCGGAAATTTGGTTTTGGTCAGTAGGTGTCTGTCTTTGCTTGGTTGCTGTTTCTGTGTTGGTAGAGAGATTCTGTACCTGATCTCGGTTCTGTTGGGGGCCGACCTCCAGCTGCTGGTCTGACCCACATAGGGTTCTCGGCTCTCTGCTGTAGTTCATTGGCAGTTCCAGCCTTTGGTAGGGTTGAGCAGCCTTGACTGTTCCTGTTTGCTCCTACAGGTGCTCTTGGCAAGATTGGGTGTGCTGGATGCACTCTTCCTGATGCTGGAGTCTGTTATGGGCTCCTGGTGGGGTTTTTTTGGGGGGTGTTTGTGGGCCTGAACTCTGGGCTTGGGCGCTGTGCCTCAGCTCTTCAGCTCAAGGCTGTCATCCTACCATTTGAGCCACAGCACCACTTCTGTCCCTTTCTGCTTATGTGGTGCTGAGGAATCAGATCCAGGGCCTCATGTACCCAAGAAAAGCACTCTACTGCTGAGGCACTTTACCTGAGCTCCTGCCTATTATCAGGAGCTGATGGCATGTGTTGTCCAATTCCCAGCCTAGAATATATGAGTCTGGTTCTGGTGGGGTTTGGGCTTCTCTTGTTCTGAGCCCCCAGGTCTTTTACTGTCACAGGTGTGATGCCCAGGGGGGTGCAATTCCCTGTTTTTCTCCCCTGTGCTAAGGTGTATGCTCAGCTTCTGACTTCAGTTGGGAAGGGTTGGTTGTGTTGCTCAGGCACTGGACCCCCAGGCCTGGTCCCGGCCCCCCGCCCTGGGCCATGCCGGTTGGACCTGTGCTGCTGTATACATCGCCTAGTTTATGCAGCCTGGGGTACACAGTTCAAATTTCTTCCACTGTTGGGTGTCTTGACACGTGGCACTGTTCCTGGCTTGGGCATTTAAGCTCCCTTCCAGGGGCGCTCTTGCTCTAGCCTGGTCATCTGCCTGTGCTCCCCGGGCCGGTGGAGCTCTCAAACTGTTCCAAGTTTTAGTGGGTCCTGTGGTCCAGGTGTTAGGGTAGGGGGTGTGGTCAGGGTCTGGGGATTCCCACCAGCCCTGGCCTCCCTTGAGAGACACAGTGTCCCCTGTGTGGTACTCATCCTGGAGCTAGTTGTTTCTGTGTGATGTAGGTTATCAGTTGCCATTTCAATCAGAGTTCAGTTGAGGTGGTTGTGGGCTGGGATGGGTGGTGGTGGCTCTGTGTGATTCTCTTCTGTCTCTGCCTTGGTTGATGCTCTTCGGGTCCACGCTATGAGATGTGCCTCTGGCCTCTGCCCGAGAAGTGGAGGGGGGGCCTCCTTACAGGTTCTGAGTGCTGGGGTTTGTCTCTATTTGCTATCTCCAGATCAACACTAGTTCCTTGCAGGTCTTCTGCTCTGGTGTTCTGTGGGCGTCCCGTGTAGCTCTGGGGCTCCATTTGTGGGGCCAAGTTCCGGGCTCGGAGGTTTCTCTGTTCGTCATGATCAGCCGGTCTGACACTGGTACCTCAGGCAGCTTCTGTGCAGGTTATCTGCAGACAGCCCCTTGTGTCTCTGGGACTCCAGCAGCCTCCGTGAAGGCTCTGAGTGCTGGGATTTGTCTTTGCGCTCTACAGATCTGCACCAGTTCCTTGCAGGTCTTCTGCTCTGGTTTTCTGTGGGCATCCCATGTAGTTCTGGGGTTCCCTCCACAGAGTTGGGTGGCTTTGGCGGGATGGAGACTCTCTGCTCAGATGGAGGGTGAGGGGTGGGTGGGGGATCTTTGTGCAGACTCCCAGCTCAGAGGTTTTTCTGTTCATCAGCTGGTCTGCAGACCAGTACCACAGGTGGCTTCTGCTCTGGTGATCTGCAGACAGCCCCCTGTGTTTCTGGGTTTCCAGCAGCCCCCTGCCAGGCCAGTTGGCTGCAGCTTGGTGCACTGCCACTCGGCCAGTGAAAGTTGGGGGAAGGGTCTTCATGCTTCTCTGTTTTGAAATTTTTTCCCTCTCTCTTTTTTGTTATTTTCCACCTCCTGTCTTTCCCTGGGTGTTAGTCATTTTGTTGTTGTCAGTCTCTTGGGGAGATTAAGCATTGGAACTCGAACTTTCTTTTTGGTTGGGGAGAGCTGTGACGTTTCCCTACTGCTCCATCGCCATCGTGGTCCCCCCTCCAATTCCTCTCTTTAGTAAAATACTACATTAAAAATAAAAATAGGTTGACTTTTTCTCAGGCATGTGATCCTAGCAGCTCAGGAAGCTGAGATCTGAGTCTGCAGTTTGAAGCCAGCTCAGGCAGAAAAGTCTGTGAAGCTGGCTTCTCCAGTGAGCTGTGAGAACCTGGGGAGCAGAAGTCCCATCCATGCTAACATCACCACCATGCTGCCAGACCACGGGGTGGGGGGCGGTCATAGAGTGGCCTAGAGCGTGGGCCATCGGATATAGGGGTTGGGGGATAGAGAGAGAAGGGAGATGTCCAAGAGATGTGCAGGAGACAGGTGCTTCCCAGAGCCTCAAACCTGAGGAGATTCAGCACAGCCTGAATAATTTCCAGGAGCCTGAGGAGACCCAGGGACCTGAAGAGAACCAGGCCAGCATGAGGAGAGTACAGGCCAACAGAGAGGTTGAAGAAGAGAAGCACATAGAGGACTGAGAGGCCTGGGGAAAGGCCTGTGAAGAATCAAGAGTCCCTTGGAGAGCAGAGAGGCCTGAGGGAAGGAGGAAAAAGGAAAATCAACTTTCCCCCTTGGAGGGTAAAAGATGCACCTGTTTCTGAGGTAAGACAAGATAGAGTGGTAGACCAACTAATAAACTGTGTCACTTTGATGATGCCTCCGTGCATTTTCCTGCTTGTGAATCATTACAAACTACTCAGAGAAGGTCATAAGTGGAACTGTGGCTCCAGGGTTACATTGCTGGCCTGGAGGAAAGGGGTCAGGGACAGTGTCAAGGGTCTCAGTTCCAGCTGTAGGACTGGACAAATAAAAGAACATACCAAGACAATGTGATATTTGCTAGTTAACAATGTTTAAATAATCAAGGCTCAGAGACATGTTTCACCACAGTTTCCTCAGTATCTTCATAACATTTGCAAATGTACACTTATTGTAACCATTTTGACTTTCTAAGGTACAGAGGATATAGAAATCCTGATGACCAGGGCTGGGAAGGTGGGTCAGTGGTAGAGCACTTGCCTGGCATGCATGAGGCCCTGGGTTCGAATCGTCAGCACCACATAAGCAAAAAGAAAAAAGCCAGAAGTGTTGCTGTGACTTAAGTGGTAGAGTGTTAGCCTTGAGCTGAAGAGCTGAGGGACAGCGCCCAGGCCCAGAGTTCAGGCCCCACAACCAGACCTCCCCCCCCCCAAAATAAAGAAAATCCTTTTAAAAAATAAAGAAATCCTGAGAACCTTGCCCTCTAAACACAGCACAGCCATTTCCCATAATTCTAAGGGACATACCTTGCATACATAAGTTACAAAAGGAAAGACCCACCCCCAACTACCCACCCCTCCTTACTTCTTACAGAGCAAGGAAAATACTGGTAAGGTAAACATAGTATGAAGATAAGAAGAAGAGCATAAATATAAATGCAAGATGAAGAAAGACTAATAGAAAAGAAAATAATCAAAACAAGTGTTGGATGACTGAAAAAAATCCAAAAAAGGGACCAAAGCTTACTTAGATTGGCAAATGAATTCAACGGAGGTCTGAAATTACAAACTCAGGAGTTAATTATTATTCCTGACTTTAGAAATGCCAACTAGAGCCAGGCATAGATGGCTCACACTTATAATCCTAGATCCTGCGGAAGCTGAGATTAGGATGGTGAAAGTATGGAACCAGAACAGGCACAGAACCCCATGAGACTCCATCTCCATAGCAGCCTACAAGGTGGGTGCTGGTGCTGGTGACTCATGTCTAATCTCAGCTACTCAGGATACTAAGATTTAAGAATCTCAGTTCAGAGCCACCAATGAAAGAAAAGTCTGTGAGATTTTAATCTTCAAAAAAGTCTTTTTTGGGGGAAGGGGTCCAGTCATGGGGACTGAACTCTGGGCCTGGGTGCTGTCCCTCAGCTCTTCATCTCAAGACTAGCGCTCTACCACTTGAGCCACAGCAAAACATCCGGCTTTTTTCTTTTTGCTTATATGGTGCTGAGGAATCAAACCCAGGGCCTCATGCATGCAATGCAAGCGCTCTACCACTGAGCCATCTTCCCAGCCCCTTCAATAAAGTCTTGAGAGAAGGCTGGAAGTAGTGCTGTGGCTCAAATGGTAGAACACTAAGATTGCACCTAAGAAACTGAAGGACATCATTCAGGCCCTGAGTTCAAGCAGAAGCAGCAAAAAAAGAAAACAAAACCCAAATTGAATGCAGAAATTCAAGTAGAGGCTGGGAATATTGATTAGTGGTAGAGTATTTGCCTAGAATGCATGAAGGCCTGGATTTGATTCCTCAGTACTACATACACAGAATGAGCTGAAAGTGGCGCTGTGGCTCAAATTGTAGAGTGCTAGCCTTGAGCACAGAGAGATTCAGGGCCTAGGCCCTAAGTTCAAGCCCAATGATGGTTAAAAGAGAAAAGGAAAATAGAACATTAAATATGAATATCTAGAAGAAGAAGAGAGATTATATCTCTAGTATAAAGCCACCCAACACAGAAAATCACCACCCCCCACACCCGTACACACAGTTGTTTGCCACACTTGAATCACCACAATGAAATGATGTCTATTGTATGAATAAAATTAAGACTTCTGAAACTTTTTTCTCAAATGCATACTTTATTTTAGTTGGACATCAACTAAATCATCTTTAAGCAGACCTGCTGATATTGTGCATGAGGTTTGGACTCACACTAAGTCGGTCATACTTTTAGGATAAAGATGGAATTCTGAGCCAGGCCCGCATTATGTTCAGGAACCAGCAGTCACAAAGGTTTACTGCTTCACCTGCCAATATATCTCCTCATCCAGGTCAAACATGGTGGGTATCTTCAAATCTCTGAAATCCCACATGACAGATCTTTATAGACTACTCTTTTTTACCTCAAGATGCTGGATCTAAATATGTTTGAAGTTAAAATGATTTCAGGGACTCAGCTGAAACACCAATAAGTAATAATACTTTCGTTTTGTGCTAATATTGAACTTTATTTCCAAGCTTAATTTTTCCATTCATTTACTTAGCAAAATACATTAGGTAATGAAGAAAAATTTGAGTGTAAGTCCTGTAAAGTAGGGAGAAATGATTCATCTTCTGGTATCTCTGTTACTGTGAGTTAGACAGCAATTGTATTTTTCTTTAATCACTATTTGCTTCGTGAACTAACAGTAAAAGAGCATTAGGTCACAATAGCTACATTGAAATTTTCATTAACTTTATTTAAACTGAGGTTCAGGCAACGAACTCAGGGTCTCAAGAAGGCAGGAACTTCACTGCTGAAATAATGCATGACATTCTTTTTGTCAGTTTCACACAGATTCTTTAAAAATATCTGTTGTTCCATACTCATTTAATAATTTGTGGTTTCTAGGGCTTGAACTCAGCATGTGGCATTGTCTCTGAGTGCCTCTGTGCTCAAGGCTATCAACCTACCACTTGAGCCACAGCCCCATTTCCATCTTTCTCTGTTTATGTGGTACTGAGGAATCGAACCCAGGGCTTCATGCATGCTAAGCAAGCATGCTACCACTAAGCCACATTCTCAGACCCTCATTAAATAATTTTAAAAATAAACATTTATGTGGGTTGCTGGTGGCTCACTCCAGAAATCCTTGCTACTCAGGAGGCTGAGACATTTGAATTGAGGTTTGAAGCCAGCCCAGGCCAGATATTCTGAGAGACTAGAATCTCCAATTAACCACCAGAAAACTATAAGTGAAGCTGTGGCTGAAATGAGTACAGTGATAGCAAAAGAGTACATAGATATCTTCCGGGCCCTGAGTTCAAGCTCCACAACAACACCAACAAATAATAATAATAATAATTTAAATGAAAGATTGATGTAAGATGGATGCAGTGGCTCACACCTGTAAGTTTGAATCAGGAGGATTCAGTTTCAAGATCAGCCAGAAAAGCAGTTCATAAGACCCCATCTCAAGTACTAGCTGGGTGTCGTGGCGTACACCTGTCATCCCATTGATGTGGGAGGCAGAGATTGGGATGTCTGAAGCTATAGGTAAGCTTGGGCAAAAAAAATTCCTAAAAGTCTGTCTCATCAAAATGTCTCAAATCTTGGTTCACATCTGTCTTCCCAGGCACGTCAGGAATATTGGGGTTCAGGCTGACATACATAAAACAGCCTGTATATCAAAAATAACCAGAGTGAAAAGAACTAGAACTCACTGCTAATAGGAGACCACCTCCCCTAGTGAGTGCAGAGTTTAAAGTCTAAATCCAAGTCAGTGTTATAAAAGCAAAACTAGGAAACCAAATTATGAAAATGTCTTTTTTTGTGCAGGAATAAAATACCTGAGTAGCCCGGGTGTCTCTGCCAATGAGCACAAACGGGCTTAGTACTGAGAAACATGTACTCAGGAATACAGCTGTGTCCACCAGCCACAGATCTGGCTTCCTAAGGAGACCAACAGAAAGAGTGAAAATGACAAAGAGACAGTAGAAAAGAGAGGAACATGCTCACTAGGGACAGGATGGTTCACGTGGCCCTGGCCTCATGGTCACTTCTTCTGGAGTAAATGCAACTGTGAATGTGCTGGACCCTCTGCTTGTGTCTGTGTACGACAAGGACCATGGAGCCACTGGCCCACATCATGAAAACCAAGCACATAACATCAATGGAAGAGAATAAGACCATCTGTGATAAACGTGCAAATGGTTTGGTGGGGCTGCTCCTGTGGAGCAGTATCTATAATGCATGTGCAGAGTGATATATTGTTTGTGTCTTGGGCCAGTCACTCTCAGAGGCACAGAAACATTGACCAGGAGCTGCAGGATCCAGAAAAGGGAACCACAGAACCCAAAGCACTTGGGGAATCTAGTAGTGATCTTCCAACAAGCATTTCTAGTGCAAAGCTTTGAGACCTGGAAGACACTCAGAAGGCAGGTGGCATTAAAAGAAACCCCTCTGCCTACTCTGTGGAAACACAAAACAACTTTACATGTGGCATCATCCAGAAAGTACTTCCATCCTAAACT